CTAATCAATTAATCAAACCTTAACTACGGTTTTGTTAGAGCAATTGAGATTCCGATCCATCTTATAATTACATGGTCTTCTCATCACTGGAAAGATAGTTTTAGGAATTGCCTTGTTTGGCTGAGCAAATTGTGCCTCTCAGCAAGTGTCTATTGCATCTGGAAGGAAAGAAATCTTAGATTGTTTCAAGATAGCACTTATAGTGCTAATCGGATTTTGAATGAAATTCTTGAGTTGGTCCGAGGAAAGCTTTTGTGCACAAGATAATATTATTATAGACAATTTTAGCCAAGCCCAAAAAAAATAGAAGTATTACTAGTATTAGTCTACCCAAAGAAATATTAGGCGACCCATTAACAATTTCGGGATCCGCCCTTACTTGTATATTTGTATGCTATTCACTAAAAAATGTGTTTGAGCTACAAATAACCTTATTTCTTCTGTATTATATGATACATAATATTAATAATAATTAATATATACAAAATTTATAGCATATTTTTTATTTGTAAAGAAATGCAACCTCTGAAATATATTTATTTATTTTAGATTCTTTAAGATATATTATTTAAATTTTCATACATGAAATGAGTACTTTAAAGAAATATAAAAGAATAAGGGTTTTAACTAAAAATAATGTAAAACTTAAAAGGTATTTGTATACTTTGTTTGCATATATATGTGTCTCTATACACTCAGTGTATAAGCACACATTTAATATGTTTATACTTAAATAACGAAACAAATGTGATGAATATACACCGAACAACAATATGACAAAGATTTATTATTATTCTTTTTTTTTTTTTTTTTTTTTTTTTTTTTTTTTTTTTTTCATAGTGTAGGTTTATTCTTAGTTCTACACATTTCTTATCATTTTTATTTAGCATTAGAAACATTTTTGAGAAATTGTTTTCAATAATAAATGCAACATGTAATTGTTTATAATTCAACCAATGAGAAATCGTTGTGAATTCGAAGAATTACAAATTGAATTTGTGAATTAACAAAATTGAATTCGCGGATTATGAAAGAATTTGCTTTCAAAGCGTCAATTTGCACGCGCAACGTGAAAGCGACACATCCTTAAAAGAATTTTGTGACTTAGCTTATGACACATGAAGACATCTCTATTATCTAATTTATTTAATAGTGGCTTGATATAGTTTGTATGTATGATTGAATGTTTAAGTAATTACCGCTCTGTTAAAAAAAAAAAAAAGTAATTAATGCTTTATTGTCATACTTTATGAATGTCAGAAGTAATTAATTCATATGACATGAAAATAAATTCTTGTTCATTTTGCAAATTTATTATTATTTTTATTATCATTATTATTATTATTATTATAAAATGTAAGGGATCTCTACCTTTTTTTATGACTTTCTTAATGCGAGGAATGATGTATATTAACTTTTAATATTTCTAAACCTTACAATTCCATATTGTCATACTTTGTGTAATCTTAGAAGTAATTAATGTCTTATTGTCATACTTTGTGTAGTCTTAAAAATAATTAATGCATATGGACATGAATTAATTAATGGTTGTATATAACCATAAACTCATTCAAGGATGTTGCTTTACTTGAAGAAATTATAAATTATAAAATAAAGAAAAATGTTAGGAATTTTTAAAAATAAGGTAACAAATAGTTTCAAATTTGTTTAGCTAATATTTAGAGTTGTTAGAATAGTAGTTTTATTTTATTATAATTATCCTTATTTTCTTGCAATAATAAGTAGGATTATTTGTTATTGATTCTTATGCTTTCCCTTTGTGTTTGGGTACAAAAATATTTAAGTAGTTCTGGCCCATTGTTAAAGGTGACCTGGTTAAAGCTATTCAGTGGTTTTTAATAATAATATCATACCTTTAAAAGTTATTAATACTTTCCTTACTTTAATTACAAAAAAATCTGAGACTATGAGATTGGTGGATTATTAAAGATCCAGATAATCAATATGGTTTTGGAGAGGGTTGGATTGAATGGGTCATAGTGTGTTTCTTTAGATTCTGTCACTGGTCCAACTTGTTTTGTTTTTTTTTTTTTTTGTCTTAATTGGTATTCACACACACATGTCTCTTGTGAGACTTGAACCTCTAACCTCCCTTTGAGAGGTAAGAGGCCGATATTGCTAGGCCACTGGCCTTTTGGTTGGTCCAACTTATTTAGTTTGTAGACTTTTTGTGCTTACGATTTCAAGATGCGTCTACACAATTAAGAGGCGTCCACATATAAAAGTGCTATTAAACATCTTCGTCAGGTGATATAGGACCTCAGTTTCCTTTTATGCGTTAGTAAATGAGTTCTTCTATGATTTTTTTCAAGCTAACACATGACTAAGAAGGTTAATTTGAGCTTTGTAATGTAGTGAAGAAATTGGGATCTCAAGTCTCATTTTTTCTATCAAGAATGCTCGAGCGTTGTCTTATTTGCTGAAATAGTTAGAAGGGTTATCGCTTAGGCCTCGCTTCCTTGCCTCGTGCCCAAAAACATAATCAGAAAAATCAAACACCTATCAAAAACCCACCCAAAATACTAACAATGGTATGTCTCAAATCTGTGAATTTTGTAGAACTGGAAAAAAAGAAGTTTTCATAGACAAAATAGTCCAAAACTAAATATAAAAATTATTATCAAAATCCTATTTGACGTCCCAAGAAATTTGGTTAAAAGGGGAATTGAGATCTTATAAAAAAATATAGTCTCGAATCCATCCTAACAAGTTCCATAGGTTGGAAATTTGGGACATGCAGGACCCAAGTCACAGTTGGACTTAGGTGAAAATTAAAAAAAATAAATAAATAACTTTAAGGACTTAGGTGAAAATTAAAAAAAATAAATAAATAACTTTAAACCTAATGGCATTAATTTAATCCAACCAAAATTACATTGTGTCTTCACACTATACACGTTTTAATTATTGTTTTCAAATAAATCGACGTTATTGATGCACTTATTGTCAAGCTCCAATAATCAAGATACAAAATAAAAATTAAAATTAAAACTCACATTTTATGCTTAATCTTATCTTTTTCTTCATTTTTTGTTTTTTTTTTTGTTTTTTTGTTTTTTTTTTGTATAAGAAATAATATAATATAATATAATTTATTTTTATTTCAAGTTTATTTTGATGAACGAGTTTTGTCCTAAGTCACACAATCATTCATATTGATTGTCGCTCTCACGCTCTAAGTGCATTCTCGCTCTTATGCTTTGCTCGCGTTCTGTCTTAAATTTTAAAAATTTATAATTTAATTATGTGATTTTCATCCTTTGAATTCTTAAATTCGTTCTCATTTTTACTCTTATTTTGATGTGACTTAAAATTTATCCCAAATTATACGTTGAGGCCCCCTAGTTCAGCACGAGTTTTGCCCCCAAATTATAAGTTGAGGGGGCCGCCCTAGACTGTCGTGAGCCAATGCTCTCTCAACACATACTAAAAAATGCAAAAGTCAAATAACAACCACTTAAAGAGAAAAACAAGTTAGAATCTTATAAGCCACAAATTTACAAATAAGATTCCGCAGCCGATCCACGTGGCCGACCCCAAGATCCCGCTGATCTACAAGGAAGATGGGCCCACCGCATGATACGCTGCAACGAAAGGCTAATCATCCTTGGTAGACCCCACCACCTCTATGCCCATTTGATCAAGCTACAATGTCAAAACTCTGATGATTTGTTGCTCCCTACTTTTATGGTATTGGCTTGATGCCGTACACGTGGTGATTAAATTCACACCTATGCAATTATGTGGCGCCGAGTTGGGCTCCCAACATTAAAAAAAAAAAAAAAAAATCAAGTGAGATTAATCGTTTCTCGTTCAAGAGAGTTGCTAATTACAATCAGTTTAAATGATACGAACTTAAAGTGATACCTACATCAGAACGCTCTAATTGTCTTTTTATTTTGTGAACGAGACTGCCTAATTTACTTATTTATCAAAATAAACGTAGATACAAAAAAAAATAGGGTTGTGTCAGTTTTACAGATCCAAGAAGGATGGTCTGTAATATTAAAAGACATGCATGATCTACTGTGGACCATGGAGAATGATGGATTTAACATCCACTATATATATTTTTCCCCATTTTATAATATCAACCCCACTTGTCCTATTTTATGTCTCTTTCAAAATTCCAATTGACTTTATGGAGTACAAGAAAGGGAATTAGTGACATCTTACCTCAGCTGATAAATACCCATCTCTTGTAAAGTAACTCAACTCAAATGATACATTAAAAAAAAAAAGAAAAAGAAAAAAAAAAGAGGTTGATTGGACTCATCACAATAATTCTACACCTCAATGTCTTAAATCTTAAGGACCCACTGTTTGATGGGTCCCACCATGGTTGATCAGAGGGCCAGCAATGTTTTTATCACTTGGCCTAATTTAGGAATAGATGGGATGCATCGCCTATTTTCGGTCAATCCGTGTGTGTGTGTGTGTGTGTGAGAGAGAGAGAGAGAGAGAGAAAGTTACTGTAGATTGGGACTTGTCATAAGAATTCTGCACATGAACCTCAAACTTAATGACCAAAACAAGCTAATGGGTCCCACCTTGGTAGATCAGACGACCACAAGTGTTCCATCACTTGATTGGGGGGAATGAGATCCCAGCTAGGTGGGGCCCATTGAAAACTGAATCTTATTCCTTGACTTTTTGTAAAGGAATTGTGAAATTTTTTTCCAAATTAATTAAACCCCATTTTAATTAAATTAGTGTGTATGAAAAAAAAATAAAATAAAATGGGGTGATCAAAGTGTCATAAGAATTAGGTAGGAAAAGGATTACACCCTCCTAAGAAGTATAAAACAATCATCTCACACACACACACACACACACACACACAAACAATAGAGAGGTTAGGGAACCCCATCAATCACTAGATTTTCACTGGTCTCATGTCATAATAACCATGAGAGTTGACAAAGAAAGCATTGGCTTTACTTGACAATTAGTTATGATCAATAACCCATACAACCACCCTTCCAGCCCCCCAGAATGGACCCTCTCTCTCTCTCTCTCTCACACAAACACACACACAACACAAACACATGAGAAGTACATACAAGAGAGATATATCCCGCAAAAAGTGGCAGTTAGCTAGTAGTTTGGATGGTTAACCATAGCCTTTTTTATCTGGTGTGGACCAGATGGGATTCAATCCAAAGGTACAACAAATCAACCAACTCAACCATGACACGATCTGAATATCTTAGTCATAAAGAGTTTATGCCATTTCAAGGTCTGTCCCATTTACATGGTTCGATTGCCACTATGTCCAAGTTGTGTCCAATATTCTTCACCTTGCTCTTCTTATCATCAACCCTTTCTGTTGTTCATTGCTCTGCCCCATGCTTCCCACACCACTATGTTCAGCAAATCAATCGAAAATTCGAGCAAAAAACCGATCGGTTCTGGGAGTTCGAAGAGCAATCCAACAGTTGGGTTGAGGTAAAATTGCCTTATGATATAGTTTCCTGCATCAACGGTAACTGTACTAAATTGGGTTTGATTGATCGGACGAAGAAGAACGAGACTGATGAGCATATGGAAAGAGAAATCAAGGTTCCGGAACAGAGGGATGGGTTGAAAAACAGAGGAGCAGCAGAGGAGAGTACTTCTGATATGGTTATGCCTTTCAGGAACAGAGTTTCTCTGATGAAAATGTCCGATACGTCGATTTGGGTGACCGGTGAGAGCGGGGCCATCTACGAGAGGTTCTGGAATGGAGTGCAGTGGGTGATTGCTCCCCATGATTTGCCGGTATTGGCAGGTCCTGCAGTGTCTGTTTTCATGGTCAACCAGACCATTCTTGCTCTCTCTGAATCAGGCAATTTGTATCAGGTACTAAATAATCTGCACAAGTTATATATTAGTGAGATGGATTGAAAACAATATAGCTAGATACACCAAACTGATATATCTAGTACTATTGCTCTAGTTATTCAAAAATTAGAATATGTGTGTGTGTGTAAACTAGTGGAACATAATGGTAGATAGGAATGGACTCGCTAATAGTCTGTGTGTGTGTGTGTGTTTTTTTTTTCAGATGCAGCTCAGTGAAAATTCACAGCCAATTTGGATTGAGTTCACACCAACACTTGGTCCTGGCACAAGTAAAGAAATGGAACAAAATTCAGCTATGCCACTAAAGTCTGGAGTTATTTCATACAATGGGGAGTGAGTAAAATCATTTTAATTTATTATCAAATAAAATTATTCCAGAAACTTGTTGATTTCAGACCTTGAATTGCCAATTGTTTGCAGGAGAATTTATTTCTGCACAAAAGATGGGTCACTGTTAGAACTCAATGGGGTTGAGCCTCCGAGGTGAGACTCATTGAACTAAAGAAGAAGGCCATAATATTTTAATACCAATCCTTCTATGTTTAGAACTCAATCTCTTCCCTGTTTTATAAACATAATCAGGTGGGTGAATCACGGCCGACCTCCAGGTGCAGATGTTGCAGCTATAGCTGATGCTGCCACAATTAGACCAGAAGTAGTGTTTACTGTAAGGTGAGCCATATACATACATATATATGTATGTATATGAATCAATGTACTGTCTAGATTGCAATCAATATATTCCCAATCCTATTAACAACATGTGTACTCTTTACTCTTTAGATGTTATGTCTTGGAATATTTTGGACAACCATACTCAAAATGAAACCATGTACACAAATTATTTATGAGACAAGCTGCACTTTTAATTTCAATCTAGAAGTTATCACGATAAGCCTAACACGAAACCGTGTACTGTGTAGTTCTATCGGAGATCTTTATGAATACGACAGGAGCTCAAAGCCATCATGGAAGAAGCATGTATGGAGAGAAGGATCAGCACAAGATACTTATTTGATGCCACTAATGGGGAGTCCTATACTTGGCTTGAGTGGAGCTCATTCCATCTCTCTTTATCTTTTGACTAAGGTACACTATATCTCAATCAACTAGGAACAAATTTGGACGATGGAATATATGAATCAGATTTGATTCTAAAATCAAAATTGTGTAAATTATTATTAAACGGATTTTAAATAGAACGCAAAATGACTATATCAGCTAACAAGTAACAATAATGACACAAATTGATAAATAAAAAAAAAAAAAAAATGCAAAATCTTTGTATCTCAGGAAAAATTTGATCACTGAGTCCGTGACATAAAATATACACTATAAAGAAGTTCACAATGTCGAATGTTACATGCAGAACAAAATGACTAGATTTCAGACACTCTGATAATTATGATATCTACGAAATTGGAGATCCTTTTCTAACATACTGTACATAAATAGATTTAAAGTTCATGTATCTAGTGTTCTAAGGATGTTTTTTATATTATTTTTTGATCTTCACATGCTCTCTTCCAAAATGAATTTCTTAGTCGTTATTATTATTTACTTAACAACTTCTACAAACCATTTTCTTCTGACGTTTTGTAGATATACAGGGTGGTAATTTGGTTGAGAGAAGACTACACCAGAGGAAGTGGAAATGGATAGTCCATGGAAGTCCAAAAAATCACCACTTGACATCCATCACTCCAGTTTGGCAAGAGGAATTGAATGAAAAGTCATACTCAATATTTTTCACAACAGCTTCTGGCACCGTGTTTGAATATAGAGTAGCAAAACATTCAGGTGAGTTAAAGGGGCGTTACTACGAAATTGAATATTTTTTCTTAGTTGAATGCTCTGAAAGCTGGCTTACCTTTGAGTAAATCTTACTAAGATGATAAGTTATTGTCATTCCCATAATCATCATCATTATTAGATGGTTGTCTGATATTGAACATGCACACGAGATCGTTATATAAACCCCCAAAAAATTGATCACTTCTAAAATCTTGAATAAATTCTAAGAATTCCTTATGCGAATCACTAAAGATCAGGAGAAATTTTCACTATAAAATTTAGTTGAACGCGCAACTCTTTCATTGATGCTTTCGAATATCAGGTAGTGCCTGCCCTTTAGGAAATCCAAGAGATGAAACTATCCCAGAAAATGTGCTCCACATAAACCATAAGATCCTAGAGGCCAGACTTGAAGCTCAGTTTCCTCCGAGGTTTCTGGTAAAAATCACCCTTCACAATTTAACAACTATCAAATGATGCAAATGAAGAAAAATATGAGGAAATTGAATAACTAGAAATAATAATAATTTTTTTTTCTAGAATGGTGGTTCACTAGAGGAGCTGATCATATTAGATGATTCAAAATGGAGCTGAGGAAGATACATATGCATTGATGCCAATAACATTCATATGGAACCTTCAATCACCAGTCGTGGGGAATCACTCAGGTTAAAAAAAAAAAAAAAACAGTAAGTAAATACATAAAAGTTATTCTAGTGTAGTTTCACCATAAAAAAAGATATACTGCATTAAAAGTTTCAGAACATAGGACAACACACCTTTATTTTGGAAACAACACAAAGGAGTTATGTGACTAATGATGAACAGATAAATCATGTTGAAAGTAAATGATATCGTACCAAAGTTTGAGTACCTGTTGTTGTCTTGGTTGGCTGAAAGGCAGGACATTCAAACTCCTCGCCAATGGTTCAAGTAATAATTCTAGTGCTGGGAAAAAAGAAAAAAAGTGACAAATCATGTTGAAATTCTGCAACTTTTCAGTCGAGACCTTCCTCGAATTGAGGAGTTGCACTTTAGTTTATTCCTTTCTTCTTTATGATGGTTCATGCTCTCATTGTTTTTCTTTTGGTATGAAATAAGGATCGAGTTTATGAGAACAAAGAAAAAATTAATGACAAGAATAAATAGGTGCACATACAAACGAGACAAGAATTTACGCAGTTCGGTTATGCCTACATCCACAGAGAGAAGACAAAATAATATTTCACTATGAAAATAAAGAGATACAAGACAAAGTGACTCACACTCAAAACCCTTGTACACCCAAACCCCCCTCACTCCATATGAGTTGTCTATGCAGAGTAGTTGTTGACAACTCATAGCTCTAATTTGAATCCAATTTGAATTGTTTCTTTCTTTAGTAAGCTTATTAGCCAAGCTGTACTTCTTGATGAAGCCGCAATTGTTGACCAAAATATGTTCTGTACCCACCACATCATTTGCTGCCACAAGTTATACAACGAAGAGAGAATTTTAAGAGTTCTATCATTAATCCAGTCTCTTTATCTGTATATTGATGTTTAGTTGGTGAGAACTCTCAAGATAAAGAGTTCATAAACTAGAATGAACTAATCTTGGAAATTCTCTATAATGAACTTTTTCTAAGAGGATTATGCTTCAATAGGGATTGGAGCCAAGCACAATATCCCTTTATTGTCATTCAGCTCTAACTAAAAAAAGTATTTCAGCATTAACAAGTATAGGGTGGAAAGCAATCCATGAGACAGTAAAAAAAAAAAAAAACCAATACGCACAATTTAAATATGCCACAGTAGTCAAAAATAGAAAATGTCGAACTATAAATTATTGGTGCTGGCAATCAAAACAAATAAAGGAAGTGCCTACAATAAACAAAGAAACTTGTGCGAGATAAATACCATAAAAACACTTTTTGCACAAGAACCTGGCCATCATCACCAGTTTTACCATCTGGACCAACTTATGATTATGCTGCCAATCGAAACCTTGGCCCTTGAATCACAAAGCACAAGTATAGCTGCAATAACTAATAATCTTGCCATCGACACTAAAAAAAAGTATCAAATCAACCTCGTGATATCACCAGCTTAATTAACCCTTTAAGCCCCTTCATTATTTGAAGATTTGATACAAGGCTAGCAAGGGACCTTGAATCACAAAGCACAAGTATAGCTGCAGTAACTAATAATCTTGCCATCGACACTAAAAAAAAGTATCAAATCAACCTCGTGATATCACCAGCTTAATTAACCCTTTAAGCCCCTTCATTATTTGAAGATTTGATACAAGGCTAGCAAGGGACCTCCATTTTGACCTAGAGGTCACAGGTTCGAATCACGGAAACAGCCTCTCCGCATTCGGGGGAAAGGCTGCGGACATCTGACCCTCCCCAGGCCTGCAATGGCGGGAGTCTCGTGCACTAGGCTAGCCCTAGGATGTATCCAAGGCTAATTTCATGATGAAAATTTTAATATCACTTCCATCCTTCTTATACCACCTCATTCAAGCAATGTGATGCATTTCTTGGATGAGAGCAACAAAATATCAATTCTATGTCTTGAGATATGAACATCCCTATTATTTAAATTCTATGAGCTAACCACTGAAAAATTAAACTCAGGAACGGCAGAGTTTTAACTTTATTCTTGCATAATGAATTGTTTCTAAATGGAAGAATGAAATTCATCGATGTGTGTGACTTCAGATACTGTTTTATAATTATGAGTTGGTAATTTCTGAGTATCAATCAAATAAATTACATCCTGAATGCAAAAATTTTCACATGAAGACAGGTACTAATCAAGAAAACCAAATCCTAGAGAATTGGGCGAGTCATATGCATCCCCCAAATGCAAAAGCAGCAAGGGGTATTGCAGGGCTGCAGTTTCAAGTTGGCAGGATACTTTTTCCACTGGATGATGGTAGGTTAGCAGAATTGCATCTACCAGGCCTTGGTGGTGAAAATTCAGGTCCAACTCATCAGGTTAATATCCGAAGAAAAGCATCACTCAAGTATGTATGGTCAATAATAGATGCACCAGAGAGTGAAGGATGGAATGCAGAGTATTGCACCGAAGAACGTGGACCCTCAAATTGCATCACTGGCATAAAAGATGAACCAAATTTGGCAGAAATTTCAAGGTCAACACCTAGAAGGCGAAAGGGTAGTAAAGCAGAATTAAATTACTTAACTGTTGGCGCATCAGCTAGTAACCTAGGTAAAGTTTCGGAAGAGTATAATGTCCCAAAGAATTGGATCAACACGAACTTCCGCCTAAGAGTGATGCATGAGAGCAGATCATTCTTCCTCGTCACAGATGGCGGCTTGACCTTGGAATATCTTAATACTGAAAATGTGTGGTTATGGCTGAGGCATGACCACTCAACAGCTATGAAAGGCGCACTTGGAAGCTACAATGGAAGCTTGTTTGTGGTTGACGAGCATGGGAGTTTGCTCATCAGAGAAAGGAGTGGCAATGAACTAGGATGGATAAATTGCACCTCTATGAGGAAAGGAAGACATGTTATTGGAGGTCCACCTTGGGATGGAATTCCAGGGAGAGTTCAAAGAGTTACACCAGTGGATGCATCCTTCTTTGTGAGCAAAAGTGGAAGATTACAACAGTTCACAGTAAGTTGCAAAATTCCGAGCTCATCTTCTAGGTCAATGACATTGAGTATCACATAAACAATAATGATAAAATGCTGGACAATCTGCTTTCTTCAATTGTTAAATCGAAGAAATTTAAAGACATTTATAACTAAATTTGTTAAATTGTAACTTAGACATGTATTTCAAGAAATCTTCTTTAGATTTCAATTGGTGATAGATAGAGAATGATGAAAATAGAATATATATATATATATATATATATATATTTCCTAGTTGGTACTCACACACACGTCTCTTCTGAGACTTGAACCTCTGACATTCCTTTGAGAGGTAAGAGTCTGATACCGCTAGGCCACTGGCCCGTTGGTGAATATATATTTTTCATTATCTTGAAACAATAATGCAGCAAGAGGCTGACTGACAACACAAACTGTTCTGTAGGTTTCACTGAGGAAGTTCAAATGGAAGGATTGCCGAAACCCTCCAAATACTAAGATTGCATCTATAGTAGATCAGGAATTGTTTAGGGAAAACATAGTGTTTGTTGTTGGGAAAAATGGCCGGCTATATCAGTACAACAAAGTCACAGAATTATGGCATGAGCACTATCAGTCCCAACACTTGCTTCTGTCAGGATTGCCCGGTACTGCTATGAGGGAATCATCACTATCACTAACAGGCTCTCTTTTCATGCTATCAGAAGATGGTGGACTAGTTGAATATCACTGGAATACATTGGATGGGTGGAATTGGGTGGAGCATGGAACACCAGATAAAACTGTGACCTTGGCAGGTTCACCTGGACCGTGCTTTGGAGGTAACCAATTGTTCTTAATTGGTTCAGATGGCAAAGTCTATTTAAGGTACTTGGATCAGACAACATGGAAATGGAAGAACTTTGGTTTCCCGTTTATGAAAACTACAGTTGTTGAAGATCCAAGAGAGGCCAAAGCCAAATCCAGAAATGAAGAAGTTTGTACTGATGAAGATTTTGCTGCTAGGACTGATAAAAATGAAGAAAACCTGAATGATATCAACAAAAACTGTGACCCAAAGGTTAGTTTGACTTTCAGTCCTCATTCATCAATAGCATATTTGTTATGCTATCGATTGTGACAGTTTATTGTTCACACTCAGGTGGCATCTACACGACCTATTCCATTCGCGGAAGATTCAGTCATATTCGAGCTAAGAGATAGCAGAGTAAGCAATTACAATTTTTACGCATAGCATATATGTATGTATATGAATATATATATTTTCCTTTTATCCTTACAGCTACTAAATGAATCCTTAGTTTCATAAACATACAACAGCCAAGAATGGCCTGAAAATTTAACAGGAAACCATATGAACTAATATCACAAGCAAATCATGTTCTCAATAGAAATATGTCAGAACACATTTTTGTTTGAATGTAAGGAAAAAGGATATTGCTGACTGTATTTCCTCATGACAGTTGGCAGAACTGCGACGAACTGGGGACATGCATTGGCAATGGTTGCGGACCATTGGTACTCCCACAAGCTTATGCATAGCGAATTATTGGACTGCTTTGGCATCATGAAACTCGATACAACCTCTCATATACATATAGAACAAGTCAGTTACAGAAGAATGCACAAACTACAGAAAATACAAGTTGTTGTACAGTATATACGAAAAACTGTCACGAGGCCTAGACCTTTTCTTCCCTTGCTCTGGATGATGTGGGAATTCAATGTATGAAACAATAAGGAAATGAGCCATTAGGTCTGCTTTCAGTATAATGCAGGTGTTCAATGTAAAATTACAAACATGTGACAGTTGAATAGCTAGTAAACCACACAATGGAAATGTATAAAAAGTAAAAGAAAGGATCATCTTGTCATGGTTTTCTATGTAATATAACTTTCTCACAAGTACCCAAGCGTGTGAGTGAATTAGCCCAAGGGTGACTGAGGAGGAAGGCCAAGGCAAAACCGGCAGGAGGCAGAGAGTGTTGGATTGAGCAGGTAGATGTGAAAAGGCTTACCTAAGCCGTGTCAAGATGGGGTACAACGCCCTAGATGGCCGGCCACAGAGTAAGGGTGAAACTCTAGGCCTATGACAGTGTCACAGACTCGCAATATATTTTGCAAATGTCTAAAATTAGCTGTGATGTTTGCGTGAAGCATATGCGAGACACTATTATAAAGGGTGGAGAACTTTTCACACTTCAAGAGATTGCATTTATCCCTCTTCTTTGCTAGGTAAAAAAGATGCACAATTATTATGGTCTCATTCTGGACTAGAACCCTAAGTGTATATTTGGCGTAACAAGAGGGAAAAGAAAACAAAGCATAACATAAGTCATGAGAGAAAAGAAAAGAAAGGGAAGCATAATGTTAACCTCTCATCTTGTTTGGTTGATTAATGAAGGAAATGATAGTCTTAAAGCTTAATCATGTTTGGAGAAAGAAAGGAAAAAAAATTATTTTAATGAATATACCACTATACTCTCCTACATTTAAAAGACAAATTATAGGTTAAGCATGCAAATGCTGAGCTTCATCCACCACTGGTAGCTAAACATGCTTATAGTTGGTTGATAGACAATAAAATAATAATTTTGAAAAAGCAAACAAGACAAACCCTATTAAGATCATGATCAATGTCAGAAGCAACCATGTGAGTCCTGGTAATTTGCACAACCTGCTGATGCATGGTGACCAAATTTGGGGTAACTAACTAGGGTTCAGAAGTAGTTCTCCTTGAGGGTTTTAGCATTTGGTTGTTATCTGTCGTCGGAATCAAATGTATTGCTGCTAGAATAGCCAGGAAAACAGGAGTTAACTGAGTTTTGTTCAGCATTTTTGTTTAATGGAGATTTCTTAAGACCAAGCATCTTTGAATGGGCAAAATGATGGACTAGTTATCAACCAGTTGATCGGTTAAAGAACCGGAAAATTAAACAATTACAATGTGCGTGAGAAAAAAAGAAGAAGAAGAAAGAGAGAAAAAGGAGAAGACCAAACTGTTAAGAGTGTGTGAGGGACAGAAAATAACAATCAAGAAAAGAGACAAAAAAAAAAAAAAAAAAAAAAGAACAAAGTAAGAAACCATTCCATTGTAAAAGGTGTAATATTACTAAAAAAGATAGGTTGAGACACCACATTTTCAAACACCGAAGACAATCACAAAGTGTTAAAATACCTTCTAAAGCACATCCACAACACCATTGTTTCAGCCAAAAAAATACTTGTTTGGGTTTGAGCAAGTTTATAATAAATCAAGCCCAACCAACAACAAAGAAAAACCTGTTTCAAATAAATCAAGTCCGACAACCGACAAAGTAAAACCTGTTTCAGAACATCCCAGCTGAAACATTTCTTGGTATAGCATTAATTAAACAACTAGTGATTTCCATCAAATAATAGCGGAAGTAAACACAGACACACACAAACATCACCTGCTAGGGACCAAAAGTAGTATAATTATTATATAGCTATAACCAAAAGGGTATAGCATAAGAAATAGCATAACCGAACAACTGTAGTAACTTACTATAGTTGCTAATCGGTGTAGTTCTCCATTTCGCCGCTTTCTGTTTTGCCTATTACATGCACATAATATATATATATATATAAGCATACAAAACATATAACTTATCATAGTGGCTAATAGGTAAAGGTTGCAAATGGACATCACCATTAAGTCTCAATGATTTAAGGTGCAAAGTTACACACAGCGTTAGACAAATCCTATAAAAACTCTTTGGAAGGACTATATATATATATATATATGTATGTATTCCTTAAACTACTACATTTTATAGCCAGTGTTCAACACAACTACATTGGTCAAAGAACTACTTCAATCCTGAAACTGGTGTTTTATGCAATGGAACCCTCTTACACACACACAAAAAAAAAAAAAAAAAAAAAAGGGAGGAGGAGGAGAAGGAGGGAGAGAGAGAGAGAGACTTGAGATTTCATAAGTAACTCTATGTGGGATTTATATCAGTGCAAAATCATTGATGCCTTGCAACTTTATAACTTCCAAATAGTTTATGACACGGGTGCCACTTGAGAATCAAACCATTACACATGGACTAAACTAGTGGATTTCGTACCGGAAATTGCCTGGTACCGTACATGCGGACGGGGCATTGTATGTTCACGGTAGGTTATAGAGTGCTCTAAGAGGCCTAAATCAAAAAAAAAAAAAAAAAGCCCCAATTACAAGTACATCGCTAATAATAGTTCATCACTATATAGTTCATGCATTGGCATACTTCCAGCATTAAACAGTAAAGAAATAGTTCAGCAAATCTAGACAAACTCAAACTCAAAAACCCCTCACTAAAATTTCTATAAAGAAAACAGTGTACCATAAAAGAAAACAATGTTACATGGCGTCTCACTAAATTTCAGACTGAGTTGATTCAATTTATAAGCAATCTAGAGTACTTTGCCGTGAACATTTCTCAAATATTAGGAGGAAGCGCAGAAAACACCCCTCAAGTATATTTTTAGTAACACTTTTACTCCCTATTTGTAAAAGTGTGCAATAAACACCCCTAATTTTTTAAAATTGTGCAAAATTAACCCTTTATCAAAAATCTTACATAAATTATTACTCTAATACCCATTTTGCCCTTTTAATCTTTCGAAAATACCCATCCTTCTCTCTCCTCTAGATGGCTGTCTTATGTTTGCCTCAGAGCAGGGGCATCTTCTCGCACAACAGTCAAACTAATCCAACGTCGATCCCATTCCTTCACAACGACTAAATGGAACTCATCCTTAGGGCAGGATGCACCCTCCAAAAGGGGTCACCCGACACTGCAACTATGGAAACAAAGTACCATCGTGGCCGGTCCTTTTCTTGAATTATTCGAGGCGGCAACAAAATTCACACCGATCAATCCAACGACCTGTGTAAAACTCAATCCAAGCTCTCCACAGTCGTCGCCCACCGCTCTCCACAGAGGATGAAGACGGCCGACGAGCAAGGAGAAGCTCGCACGGAACTGATGGCGGGCCGAGCTCTCCATGGCCGATCCTCACCGCCGCTTCCTCGCTGGAAAAGGCGGATCCTTGCCTCAATTCTTATCGCCGGCGACGGCGGAACCGGCGAGCTTGGAGGGACTCTCGACGGCGAACTAAGGTAGCTGACTTGGCAGAAACCGGCGGTGACAGGAAGGATTGAAGGCAGCTGCTATGATTGTGATGGTGATTGAAGCTTGTTGTTGAGTGATCTTCTCGGTGGTGATGTGGTTTGCACAGAGCGGGGATTGAAGCTTTGTAACAATGTATTTGAGATTGATCTATTGATATATATAAACAATGAACTCTCTGCTGATGAATGACAAGAGAGAAGAAAATGGGTTCGAGAAACTGGGTTTGCAAAAATGCACTGCCACCACCCCCACAAACCCACTGCGGCCACCACCACCCCACAACTACCAAGATGAAGCCCGTCTTCTCACCATTCTCACCACCGTCCATCCTCTCTGCAGTCGCTCTATCACCTAAGCTGGCGATTGGGACTGTCGGAGGTGGAAACGACGAGTGGCGAAAAATCCTTGGACACTTCAATCTTGATTTTGTTGTTAAGCTCTGCTAAATCCTCGATTGGATTTTGCAAATCAATTCTTGTGATTGGATTGCTTGTGATCTGGGGTTGAGAATTCTGTTGAGATTTGGTGAGAATTTTGCAAATCAATACATATATGTTGAGAATTTTGCGATTTGGCTTGCTTATGATCCGGCCGCCTGTATCACCGATTCCAGAAATTGGAGTTGCCGCAGTGGAGCCACGACGGCCGGTGGTGCTCGTGGATTCGCTGGACCGAATTGCAGAATGGTGTGCATCACTATTTATTGTCCTTTTTTGTCTTTTGACAAAATTTTGTATTTTTTATATATTTTATAAAATTATTAAGTAAGAGTATTTTAGTCAAATTTCGTTAAATGTGTCGAGGGACTTGATTGCACCAAATTGAAACTTGATGGATGTTTTTTGTACGAGAGGGGTATGATATGCACTATAAACATGCTTGAGGGGTGTTTTTTGCACTTGACCCCAAATATTATTAAGGCTTGAAAAAAAAAAAATCAATGAAGTTTAGATTTAAAATTATATAAAATAAACCACAATGAAAATAGAGACCACCATTGAAGCAAATAAGCAATGGAGTTTTTATACTAATTTAGCCTCGACAGAGAGAAGCTCAACCATCAGCCACAGCCAGGGAAGCTCGTTTCCCTCCTTTCGCACCTTCATCCATATGTAATTTTGAGATATATATATATATAGGACAAAATTGATATTTGATGCTAATAAAATTTTATTAAATAAAAAAAAAACATTTCATTAGGGTGTTTAAAAGCGAAAGCGGCAGAATTAAGTCATAAAAATTCAAAATTTGAACGAGATCGCGCATGCAAAATGAGAGCAGAAACCCGCTCGGAGTATGAGAGCAACATTCGTTGAGAATGATTGTGTAACAGGCTTGTTTGATTAGTGCTTATTCAATTAAGTGCGTTTGATAACAAAATTTAAATATCCACTTAAAACTGTAAGAAATCACTTAAAATGGGATAAAATTTTAAGTAATTGGGACATCACTTATCTGAATGCTGACTGAAAATTCAAAAAAATATCAAAAAATAGTTATTTTGTAATTACCACTTAAAAACTTCAATATTTAAAATTCATTCTTTAAAATTTTCAGTACTTAATTTTTAATTTTATCAAACAGCACCTATTTTTTCGGTAATTAATTTTTGGCGTATTTTTAGTGTATTAATATTCGAGATGCGTATTTATTTCATCAATACAAATACAACAATATTATTAATTATGTGAAAAAAAACTCTGACACAGGACAAGAATAACACACCATTTAACCATACCCACACCATTTAACAACCATATATATACTACCGTTGCTCTTGGAACATAGTCCCACGACATGTTAAAAAAGTACCACATTGCGCCATCCAGAGCTATACTACCACATACAGCTTCCTCTCTAGTAAAACTAATAAGAGAGTGCTCTCAATCTCTAAACCTTTCATGCCGCCACCGCCACCACCGCCACCACTTCCATGCTGGCAATTTGCTGGCGGCGGCAGCGGTGGACGCCCGAATCATCAAAACGGGTTTCGACCCCGATACATGCCGCTCCAACTACAAGATGAAGCATTTCCTTCGAAAAGGTTTATTCTCGGAAGCACGCCACCTGTTTGATCAAATGCCTCACCAAAATCATGTTTCAACCAACATGTTGATTTCATGTTTTGTAAAATCGGGCGACCTTCTGAATGCAAGACAACTGTTTGATGGAATGGTTGATCGAACTGCGGTCACCTGGACTATCTTAATTGGTGGGTATTCGCAGCATAACCAACCCAGGGAAGCTTTTCGACTTTTCGCCCAGATGCAGAGGTCAGGGGCTGAGCCAGATTACGTCACATTCGCGACTCTTTTATCTGGATGTGATGATACAGTAACGAGAAAAGAAGTTGTTCAAGTTCATGCCCATATCATCAAATTGGGATGTGGTTTGACCCTTATGGTTTGCAACAGCTTGCTTGATTCTTTCTGCAAATGTCTATGCTTTGATTTTGCTTCTCAGCTGTTCAAAGAAATGCCCACAAGAGATTCTGTGACCTTCAATACAATGATAACAGGGTACTCAAAAGAAGGGTTGAACGAAGAAGCAATGGACCTTTTCCTCGAAATGCAAACTTTGGGATTGAAGCCAACTGACTTTACTTTTGCAGCATTGCTATGTGCTGGTATTGGGTCAGATGATATTGCTTTTGGGAAACAAGTGCACTGTTTTGTGGTCAAGACCAATTTTGTTTGCAATGTGTTCGTGGGCAATGCATTGCTTGATTTTTACTCAAAGCATGATGGCATAGATGATGTGAGGAAACTATTCGATGAGATGCCGGAAAAGGATGGCGTTTCTTACAATGTGCTCATTACGGGATACGCATGGAATGGGCAGCTAAAAGAATCTATTGACCTTTTTCATCAATTACAGTTCACCGTGTATGATCGAAGGCAGTTCCCTTTCTCAACGATTCTGAGCTTGGCAGCGAATACGGAAAATTTGGATATGGGCATGCAAATACATGCCCAGTCCATTGTGACAACAGCTGATTCAGAAATTCAGATCGGGAATTCTCTGGTTGACATGTATGCAAAATGCGGCAGATTTGAGGAAGCAAATATGTTGTTTGCAAATCTGGCCCACAGAAGCTCAGTGCCATGGACGGCTATGATATCGGCTTATGTTAAAAAAGGACTCTATGAAGAAGGCCTTAAACTGTTCACCCAGATGCACAGAGGCAATGTAAGTGCTGATCAGGCAACTTTCGCTAGCATTTTGAGAGCTTCTGCGAATTTGGCTTCAATTTCATTGGGGAGACAGTTACACTCCTTTCTAATCAGGTCAGGATTTATGTCCAACGTTTTCTGTGGTAGTGCACTTCTTGATATGTATGCAAAATGTGGGTCCATTAAGGATGCCATTCGAACTTTCAAGGAGATGCCAGGTAGGAATATAGTCTCTTGGAATGCAATGATATCAGCTTATGCTCAGGATGGGGACGGTCAGGCCACTCTTAGAGTTTTCAACAAGATGGTTCAGTCAGGTCTTCAACCAGATTCAGTAAGTTTCCTTAGCGTTCTATCAGCCTGCAGCCACCGTGGGCTCGTTGAAGAAGGATTGTGGTACTTCAATTCCATGACTAAAATTTATAAACTTGATCCAAAGAGAGAACACTATGCATCCATGGTTGATGTGCTGTGTCGAAGTGGAAGATTCGATGAAGCAGAGAAGTTAATTGCTGCGATGCCATTTGATCCTGATGAGATCATGTGGTCATCAGTCCTAAACTCATGTAGAATTCATAAGAACCATGAACTTGCTAAAAAGGCAGCTGACCACCTTTTTCACATGGAAAAGCTTAGAGATGCCGCTGCTTATGTCAACATGTCTAATATCTATGCAGAAGCTGGCCAGTGGGACAATGCTGGCAAGGTGAAGAAGGCAATGAGGGATCGTGGAGTTAAAAAGGTGCCTGCTTACAGTTGGGTTGAAATTGAACATAAAATTCATGTATTTGTGGCGAATGATATGACACATCCACAAATGACGGGGATCAGGAGAGAAATTGAAATGTTGACGAAGCGGATGGAGGAGGAAGGGTACAATCCGGACACCAGCTGTGCCCTTCAAAATGTGGATGAGCAAATGAAAATCGAATCTCTTAAGTATCACAGTGAGCGCATAGCTATAGCATTTTCACTGATCAGTACCCCAAAAGGTTCACCAATACTGATTATGAAGAATTTAAGAGCTTGTATAGACTGCCATGCTGCTATCAAACTGATTTCAAAGATTGTTGGTAGGGAAATTACAGTCAGGGATTCAAGCAGGTTCCATCATTTCAGAGATGGGCTTTGTTCCTGTGGGGATTATTGGTAGAGTGTACAGAAAGAACAAAAGGGAATATTCCAATCCATTGACAGTAGGCTAGAAATGGTCTGGGTAAATGCGAAGGAACAACTAACCACGAGTTGCTTTGCTTTGAGGTGAGTTCCCTTTTGTAAATTTGGTGATTGACATTATCATGTAATTGTTTCATTGATGAACAAGAACACAAAATTATAGAGAATGACTTGGCAAATGAGTTTAGATCAAAATCAAAGTAGGGATATAGATTGGCTACAACTAGAAGGTTCGTCTCTGAATATATTGGAATTAAAAAAAATAAAAATAAAAAGTATCTTGATTTTGTCATATGCTGGCTCAACTCATGGACATGTAACATGAAGACCCTATTAGATTAATCCAATCATCGAGGGAAAATTCTTACTCATTGGACATGTCCTCTAACTCATTGGATTTGCAAAATTCTTACTTTTAATATAATTACTTTTTCTCGTAAAGCATTTGATTATCCATCTAAATGCTCAAATTTTAACTTTTTGATTTGAAGGGTTTCTTTTGTAGCTGTAATCTCTGAATTTTAAGTCCCATCTCCTCAAACCTTGACAAAATCCAGAAACTAAACGATAAAATCGGAGTATGAAATATAAGTAGCAAGTTTATAACAGATAAAATAATGAGTATCCTTTTTTTTTTTTTCTCGAAAATTCAGGTCAGTGAATAATGAGTAGTCTTAATACACTGTTTTTGTGCTTTTACAGGTCCTGCATCCACAGTCCATGAGGCCAGCTAGAGAGGGTGATATTCCCGTTGCGGTTAAGAATTCTTACAACCCTAATGCCCCAGGTACCCTCATCACTAGGACTAGGACAAGAGACATGAGTAAGATTTGTCACAACAAGCTGTTCAGAATGCGGAAGTCAATTTTGTAAGAAAACTTCAAACAGCCTAAATTGTCCATTTTCCAATTCCAGGCAGTACTAACTAGCATTGTTTTGAAACACAATGTAACCATGTTGGATATTGTTAGCACTCGCATGCTTGGTCAATTTGGCTTTCTCACTAAGGTAAAAATGTTAATTATTGAATTTGGTAATTCTTTGTCCTCATGCAGGCTCAATTGCTTATCCAAATCTAATGCACTATGCCTGACTTTGTCTCCATTCAGGTGTTTTCAATCTTTGAAGACTTGGGTACATCAGTGGATGTTTTAGCTACTAGTGAAGTCATTTTTTGCCTTGACATTGGATCCGTCAAAGCTCTAGAGCAGAGAACTGATTCAGCAAACAAGTGTATGATATCATTATCAATGTTATTGTTGGATTTGTTACTTTATAGGTTTAGTTTCAATTATTAAATTACTTTATCATTATCTTTTGTTGCTTGGACTAGTAACTGTGTTCTTAGATTGTGTGAATGAAACTTCACTAAAGAATTACCTTTTGTACTCTTAACAAACTTATCTGTTTCTGTCAAAGTTTTTGGTTGACCAAAACGAATGTGGAACGGTATGCAAAAAATAAAGTTTATTCACTTCAATCAACGACAGTCTTTGAGCCAGTCAATTAAGGCAACAGGACGGTCGTCATGGAAGTCGAAATTCGCTAAGGAGCGTGTAACAACTCACATGCCGAATCAACTAGCCCTGAAAATGGATGGTGTTGAAGCGCGCGACCTATACCCGGCCGTCAGAGCAAGCACCAGGCTGATGAGCAGGAGGGTGCGGCGGTCGCTGCAAAACCCTGGGTGTGAGCTTTCCACTTAATTTTCGCTGCAAAACACGCTAAAATTTTACTTTCCTGCAAAACTTAACCCTTTGTATTTTAGTTTCCTCCTATACCCTGTCAATTGTTTCTCCCACTCCTTGACTTTTCCTTTGTTTCTCTCCACTCTTCACTTTCTTCATAGGCTTCACGCAGAGGTAAGTTTCCTTCTTCTATAAATTATATGATTTGTGTAATTTTAATTTAGTTATTTATATTTTTTTAAGTGTGTATAAAATTTATTTTTTATTGTAATTTTTTTTTTTCCATAACTGATAATGATTGAGAGTGGTATTCTTACATGTTTATATATATATATATGGGTTAATTACACTCACACCCCCTAAGGTTTGCCCTATTGACAATCAGATGAAAATTTGCCTCTTTTTAAACAATGAGGCCCCCTCAAGTTTGATAAAGTTAACAAAGCACCCCAATAGTCACTTGTCACATGGTGAATTGACAGTATTACCCTTTGACTTTTATATGTCATTTTATTGGACCAAACTAACCCTCATCTTGTCTCCCCTTTCACTCTCTACACAAAACTGTCCACCCGCTCTCTCTATCTCCACCTCTACCACCATAGACGACACCACCACCATCACAATCACCACCACCATCATAGTCCTTCACCACAAAAACATATATATATATATATATACACACACACACATATACAAAGCACTGGCAATCTCCACCACCATCCATCGAAATTGATTTTAGAGAATCTTTGAAGGTTTAAACCCAAAAAAAAGCACACAACAACTCAGACTATCAACTTATTAAAGATCAACCCTTAATCAAAATCAAAATCTTTTGAAATTGAAACCTTCCAACGGTAATCAATCAAATTAACCAAGACCTCCATCAAACTGCCCTATAAACTTACAGTACCTCTTGTTGGGCCGTCCAAGAAGCAAATTAAACATCAAAAAGTTTGAGTTAGAGAGAAAATGAGAAGAATTTAACTGAAACCCAATAGAAAATATACATAAATAATTCAACACACACTGATCATATATATATATATATATATATATATAAGAGGAGAGAGAGTATAGTTAAACCCAATACAATATATATACATAAATAAATCAACACACTGATCATAAGAAAGAGAGGATGAGATCTGAGCTTACAAAGAGAATCTCCGATGAGAAAGCTTCAAATCCCCAGAAACCAGCCAAATCCAACTCAATAAAAAAAAAATTAATAATAATAAAACTCATCAAATCAATGATTTGCACTGGCACACAATATTGTAATCGTTGGTAAGCAACTCGGATTTGTATCCTCGGCCTTCAGAATCGGCGGCGGCTCGCTCTCATTTCTTCCCAAATCAAAGAGTCGTCATTCTTGTACAGCCTTATGGTCCACGATTCCACATCCTCGTCGACTCTACACTTCAACACGGCTTGCTCTAGCAACTCAGTCATCACTCTGGTGCTCGATCAAATCTCCAAATTCGACCCGTTCTTTTACGTTGGCTCAAAGGACTCGGCGTCTGCGGTTAGATCCCCTAAATCTCGCCGTGGGATGCAACCAATCAGTGGGTGTCCAGAGGACAGCGCCTCCATTAGGTGATAGGTTAGAAAGAGAAAGTAGTAAAATGAATTAAATAATAATAAATAATTATAATGGGCATTTTGGTCATTTTGCACTTCTGATATTTTAATGAATTAAATAATGAAGGGTTATATAGACATTTCACATGTTTTTTAAAGGAAAAAACTTATAGGGGGTGTCAATGTACAAAAAATGGCTAACTTTCATCTAACTGTCAATATATCAAACCTCAAGGGGCGTAAGTGTAATTAACCCTATATATATATATATATATTTGAGTATTTAAGTATTGGGTGAAAAACTAGGGGTAGTGTTGGGGTTGTTGGCCATTGGGGTTTTTTAATTTGGCTTTCTTGCTACGGTGAAAATGCTAATTACTGAATTTGGTAATTCTTTGCCGTCATGCAGGCTCAATTGCTTATCCAAATCTAATGCGCTATGCGGATATGCCTGACCTTACCTCCATTCAGGTGTTTTCAATCTTTGAAGAAGTGGGTATATCAGTGGATGTTGTAGCTACTAGTGAAGTTGGTATTTCCTTGACATTGGATAAAGCTCTGGAGCAGAGAACTGATTGAGCAGACAAGCGTATGATATCATTATCCATGTTATTACTGGATTTATTAATTTATAGTTTTAGTTTCAATTATTCATAATCCATCTTTTATACTTTTCACCGCATAGAGAATCCATGTTGGTTACTGTATCTAAGGATTCAAATAGCATGAGAACGAGAGACGTTTATTACCTTCACGCACACCATATGATGATGTGTTTGTCTTGTATCCTGACCTCGGTTTTATGCTTATTTGAGCAGGAACTCGTCCACGTTGTGGAAGAACTGAAAAAAAAGATCGATTGTAAATCTCCTGCAGCACAGATCAATCATCTTTCTCATTGGGAATGTCCAAAGGTCTTCTTCACTGGTACTTGAAAAAGTGTTGTAGTGACATTCATAAATCAGTCATTCTGGCCGTCTGCTGGGTTTTTGTTTTATTAGTTACTACAATATTACACTAATAACATTCATTTCCATAATATTGTGAGCATCTTACAGCCAGAAAGTATATTTTGTTGCTTGGACTTGTAACTGTATTCTTGGTGTGTGAATGAAACTTCAGTAAAGAATGACCTTTTGTACTCTTGACAAACTTCTACAACTGTTTTCTGTCAAAGTTTTTGGTTTATTTTCCTGTTTAAGTTATAAATACTCTGAAGCAAATTTCCACCCCCCTCTACGAACGGAATAGGATGGAATGGCAACCTCTTTTGAAAGCTCCTCCACTCGAGTGGAATGCTATGACTAACAGGCCACTGACTTAACAGTATCAGTCTCTTACCTCACCAAAAGTACAAATATGGATTCAGGGTTTGCAGACAAACACATCACACTTGACTTTCTCTAAAGAGATCATAGCTTCACCTTCGTGTGCACGTATAAAATACACTGACAACTTTAGTCAAATCTGTGTTTTTCACCCTCATTGATGTTTCCGGGATTGTTCCTCAGCTGAGAGATAAATCCGTTTAGAAAAATCCATCTCTAACAAACAATAACTTAGCACATATCAATTCCCATCAGAGACCATCTAAAACTATCAAGGAACGTGAGCAACTTTAGTCGAATATGTGTTTTTCACCCTCATTGATCTTTCTGGTGTTGTTCCTCAGCCGAGGAGAATAACTTCCTTGCGCACGAACACATCCAACCGTCCATTACGGCCCGTGTAATATGTATTACACATGGACAGTCCAGATGCACTTGTTGCACGGTGCAATAGATGGGGACATGTATTACACAGACGGTCCAGATGCACGGTGCAACGGGTAAGGAAGTTTTTTTTCCCTCAGCTGAGAGAAATCCGTTTAGAAAATCCATCTCTAACAAGTAATAACTTAGCACATATCAATTCCCATCAGACCATATAAAACTATCTAGTATAGAAGAACACAAACATGGTCAAAGCCACCTTAATCTTCGCAAATGCTGAGTGTTGGCAAATGATATCAAACTAAATAGTCTACATGCAAGTGAAGAACAATAAGGTAGTCCTAAAATAATATAAAGTCAACATTAAATAATTGCAGTTTAATACACGATCAGAAGTCGGGAAAGCCTAAAAAGCATCCATGAGAGGGGGGGAGGAAAAGCAAGAAAGCAAAGACATCACAGAGAAATTAAGGGATCCTCAGCAATCTGAGTAAATGATCATACACAAAGACCATGGCAAACCAACATCTTTAGAAACATCTCAATTCCTCATCCCTCAATGGAAATCCACAAACCCTCAAGTAAGATAAGAACTGCATCAGTATCTCCTCCTCGGACTTCTTGAACGATGGCCGCGTGGTGATCTGCAAAAACATGGACAACAACAAATAAATAAACACACTTGCATATTACGGCTGAAATGCACACCTCAGAAGCCCAAAAATATAATAATAGAAAAACGACAAAATCAAAAGGGAGTAATAATACACAAATTCTCAGTGATAAATTACAGTTTTAATATATAAGTTCCAATCAATTGACAAAACTTATCATGCATCTACCTAGAAGTATGTATCAAGTTTCAGCTGATGTCAAGAGACCATGAAAAGTCTATAAATTAGACAGTAGGAGCTATCAATTAGAAACGATTTTTTTTGTATTAATTTAAAACAAGAAATAGAACCATAAGCCAGTAATTGGAATTTTAAATTGAGAAATATCAGATGTGGAGATCATATAGAAGCTATATGTCAACCAGAAACCATGTCAGCAATTGTTTTTGTGTAAAGATCAGAAGTAGAGCACAGAGAACCTATATAAAGAGTATTAATCACTGCACCAATACAAGTTAGAATATGAAATATAAATTAAGCAAAAGTGAATGAAACTTGTTCAAAAGAAAATGCTTTTGAAGTAAGGGAAATCATTAAATGAGGGGTAAATTTCAATTCACCGCCTCATGTTTCCAAAAATTGGTAACTACCCATGAACTCACTCTATTATTGCACTCATCACATTACTTGCCAAATCTTTTATAAGCTCCCCCTTTCCATTACCATTTCAACAAGTTTCATCAAAACACATGAAGCATGTGCATTACCAACCAAAAACCTAATAATACCCTTGTTAAAAGAACCAGTTTGAAATAGATAAATATACCCCTTTTTGGTGGCAATGCAACCCAAAACCAACCACCCAACATGACGACCTCTAATATCCAAACCCAACACCTCCACATCTTCCACTCTCCCGCATCTCACCATAGAAAACTATAAACTGAGTTGCCATCTTCACTATTTTCTTCCTCATTCTTGTTATCTCCATCCATGTTCCCTCATAACAGCACTCGAGACGAAACACAATGCAGCCACCACCAAGACACCCCAAAAATAAACAATAACCCTTCCATCAAGAACTCCCAAAAATGGTTTAGTTTCTTTCAGACTAGAATACGTTAGTAGCAACTGATCTATATTTCACATGAACAGGCAATGTATTGCCAGGCACCAAAAAAAGACAGGTTACAGTAGAGACGAGAGGCTGTTGAAATTGCTCATACAACAACAATTTGGCACGCACTCTTTGCACATAAATCTTCATTAATTCATTATTATAACTGTTACTGCATTTTGACACCTTTAAAATAAAATCTTCATGGTGAATTTTAATTCCATTTTATGAAAGACGACGAAAATTCTCTATTTATGAGGATCAGTTAAACTTGCAAAGTATTAAGAAAGGTCCACACGTGTGATAGGAGATGGCTCTTTGAAGAAATAATTCATCTCAAGCAGTGAGAGTGATGGATATGATGGCATGTGGTTTAACTGAGGTGATAGCCTTAAGTAGAGCAAAATGGAGAAAAGATATTCGTGTGGCCAACCCCAATATCAAATAGTTGGAACGGGCTTTATTGTGTCGAGTTAAGAATCAAATAGGAAAAATTAAGTAACCACCAAAATCATTTAATATCATCCCCTCAGAAGTAAATAAAAAGCCGTGAGGACAGAAGAGGATGATCATGTACCACCCCCTTTCTACCCTGACCTCATACAATGTTCCAGCATAGTTGACCTCTTAATTCTCTGGCTGCAATAGATGTCAAACGTCTCTGCAAGATCTACAGCTTTTTTTCTCCTAAATTCTATTTATGTTTCAACAGAATCCCCATCATTCAATTAGATAAGAGTTTTTCCTCCCATAAAATTCATGTAAAGCATGTTGGTAAACATGCAAAAGCTCTTACAAAAAAGCATACCTCCTTCTCATATTCCTCCTCCTGAAGGGACCTTTACTAAATGCCCAATCAACAGTGATGGTTTGAGTGAGTAGCTCAGTTCCATCAGTAACTTCTATAGCTTTCTGCGCAACTCCAAAGGTCTCATATTCAATGAGTGCATACCCCTGTACAACAATATTTTCACATCAACCAATGTGCCAAACGAACATAGATTGCAAGATATAACAAAGGGAAGTAACCCCAATTTAACCTTCATTTAGTGAATCAGCAATCTTTGAAACTACTAAATTTAGCGAATCACAATTTAATAGAAAAAGTAATTCAAAATGCTGCTTTATGTGAGTAGCAATAAGAAGTCTCAATGTCTCAACACTGACAGAACAATTTATAACTTTGCTGATTGCTAAATAACCTATTTCTTTAGAAGGAACGCTTCTATTAGGAAAGATATCTGTCAACGCCCGTTATAATGTTTAAGCCAATCACAGAATAATTCTTTTACATAATAGAAAATATATTGAGTAGATAATTTTGGTATTCCTTTTGCTTTGTTGCTTTGGTGACAGATGATGCCTACTGAGAACAATTCATATTTGTTGATCTAATTTTCATTCCCATTCTCCTGAGATCATTTGACAGATTTTTTTCTGTGATAGATAGGAATTTGAAAGAAATTTCAACCTATATAACTAATACCCTATGAAAAATGCACATAGATAAAGGATACAAGTACAACAGAAGTCACACGATACAAAATTGACAATTGGAATACAAATAGATGAATCTAAGAAATTCTACAGATAAAAAGGGGACATGGAATTCTGAAACATACAGAGAAATATGTCGGGGATGTGGCTATATTATTTTATAATGAATCATTAGAAAAGGTATTATTACATACAGAAACATTATGATGAGCACATATTTGAGAATCATCAATTATTTCTTGCTTCTACCATTTTTTTTCCACTTCTTGCTTCTAACTTAAATTATTAAAATTTGTGTGAGAAACTGAAGGTTACATTGCATGGATATAGAGTTAAAGCGTTGAAATAGAATCAACGAGATTTACCTTCATTATTTATCCCTTATTCCTATTTAGTAAATGGTCAGTTTTCTAAATCAATTTTTAGTTTGTTTTTTCCTTTCCAATTATAAGGCAATTATATAGTAGGCATCCAACATCCCAATGTTTGAGACACCCCAAATGTCCAGAAGTGTTCAAGTAGTTTCATACATGGGTGTGGCATTTTAAAAATATCATCCATCTAGAAAGCATCAAAATAAATGTATCTTAGAACATTTTACAACTGTCCATGTTACTAATATCAAATATACTATGTAATATGTATACAACACCTCCATAAAATATCTTTGCCATTAAGAATCAAACCAAGTATTGTACCCGTAATAAATTAGAAAAGCAGCAGAAGATTATCATCATATTCAACATACTTGAGGGGACAAAAAACTCAACACTAATTACTGCCTTCCACGAGATATTCTTTACTGTTCCATGTATCATTTTAAGTTAATTACATGAACAAAACTAAAAGTTAAAACCAAATAGGTATATCAATGGAAACTACTGCATTGCACCTGTGAATGACTCTACCAGTCATATGAGAAAAATAAAATACTATCTTTGATAACAGCCAATTTATTAATTATAAATGAGTGAAGACAAGGCTAACATTCTACAGAATAAGCTCCTACTAATATATGTTCCAGATGTCAAAGTTCATACAATCAGTCTGTTACAAAAACGATAGATTGAGCTTTAGCAATATAAAGGCCAAGACAGTTCATTTCCATATCAAAGCCAACAAGGTTTGACATGACGTAGAAGCAAATATCAGGAAAAGCGACGAACGGTTCCATTTTTGGGAGTACAGGACAAAATTACATCGTAATATGTGTCAACAATTTCAGAATCTAGATAAGAGGCGGAGACTAAATGAGACACTGATAAGGCCCAAATTTAGTCCGCAAGGCATGCTAACATTGAGAATTGATGGGGACACATGAAGGTATCATAATTCACCGTGTCCGCTTATCCAGCATTACATTGAAGTAGTGGGAAACAATAATGTGCATGTGGATGAAAGACAAACCAAGCTAACTTCAGATTGGGTCAAGGTCAGCTAATTAGAGGTTATTCTAGGTTGTTTGTCAAAATTGGGTGAAGTGATCCATGTCAGACAGTTGATATTCAGATATGAGTAAGGGATATGCGTTCACCACTTCTGATGTATGGTTGGACAAACGCCTAATAAGCATATTTGCAAATCCGATATTCTTTTTTTAGGGTAGATAAATTTATTCACACTTTAGCTTGGGTAAAGGTCAGCTAATTAGAGGCTGCTCTAGGTTACTTTTCAAAAATGGATGTAATAATCCGCATCAGACACATGATGCTCGGATAGGAGCAAGGGATATGCATCCAACTCCACTGTTTTGTTCCTTTTGTTACATTATTAGTTTAAAATGACTGAATTGTCTATGTTGAACACAAAATGTAACCGACATTTTTTTTCTCTAGAAAAAATTTACAAACTTAATATTACAATTTCACCATGAGTCCTTAAACAAATCCAAAAGCATAGAAAGATACAACTGACATTAGTAGCTCATTTAACGTAGTGCAAGATAAATGAGCCGACCTCACCACATTTAAAGCTTGTTAATTTATTGAGCTTGGCTCAAACTCAACTCAATAAGCCAGTGACTTCTAAGACCAAATAAAATAAGTAATTGAGAAAGGATCAAATTAGTTCAAGTAATACTTGCTCGAACCACTTACGAAATAAACAAGGTAAGCTTGACGTTCTTTTTGAAGCTCATTAATCTTTCTACCAATCATGAAAAGCCAACTGCTCAAGCAGCTCAGCTCAACTAGTTTAGAATATATATTTTTTTATAAGTCAGATTTCATTAAAAACGCTCAAAAAGGGGAGTGCACGCATAGAATACAAAAACTACAATACCTAATACAAAGTTAATAAGCTTTTGTAAGAAGATTGATGAACAATCTTGAAAGTAGGAAAAACATGCAGCCAAAATATATGGTTCAACTATCCTTGCCATCACTGCTTACCACCAGCATACAATTGTTCCAAAGTTTTTAAGGAACAAAAACTAACTGCATCTCATGTCATTTAATTTTTTCATATTCTACGGCTCTTTTATTCTTTGATAAGTAATATTCTGTGGCTCTTTAAGTATGTTGTTTGCGCTCTTTAATGAAATCTTACTTATCAAAAAAGTACTGAGTATTATTATGATTAGCATACGGCCTGTATAGATGAGAGGTTTGAATAATGTGAATTAATATCATCTTCAACAACTATTAATTAAGCAATGACTACATATAGTAGTTGATACAAGATGAGTATTAAGCATGTGTCAATCTTTAAAAGCAAAAAGTAACACAAAAATAAAGCATAAGACCAGCAATAATATATTGATGAATAATTCTTCAAACACATAATTAACTTCTAGCAATAGCAAACAAAGAATGTACAAGAACAAAGGCATTTTGTTTCAGTATAAAAAAATGGTTCTAAAATGTTCGATGGTACAATTTTATTTCCCATCAACGCATTCAAATAAATGCATTCTTAAAATAACAAAAGAATGCTCACCTTGACAAATCCAGTTCGCCGATCAAGATTCAAATGCAAATTCTTAATATCACCAAATTCACCAAATATATTTGAGAGATCATCCTCCTGCGCCTCTTCATGTACTCCAGTGACCAGAATAATCCATCCTTCAATGGCTGCACAAATTCACAAGCAGTAAAACTTCTATATAGAAAACATCTATATAAACGTTAATGTAATCCCTGGAAAATAAAATGCTATTCAACTTCCGACAATTAAATTTTCATTTAATATCTGTAATGATACAAATATTTCACAGCAGACAATATTACTACCAATTGAAACAATTATGCATATGTAATAACTATATAAGATTTAACTTCTGATTGATTTAACTGTTAAGGATAACAGGGAAGTTGAGTAGAACCAAATATATATACATACATACATACATATATATATATATATATATATATATATATATATAATTAGGTTATTGTTAGTACATTTTCCTCTTCTAAGCAATACAAAATAACACCAAATAATTAAGGAAAAAATAACACCAAATATCATAATTGTAGTGAAGATCCGGTATTTTAAGGAAAATTCTGGTTAATCCAGTTTGAAATTGTTTTAAGTAATGAAAATTCACATCTATAGTGACACGTTGGTAAGAAAACCAAACTTCCTAAAATATCTAGAGAACCTTTCAGTAAGAGAATTTCCAGTAGTCTTAGTGTATATTTCAAGTCATCAATTATCAATGTTTGATCACAGCACAAGATTACAATCTTAATATGTAAATCACTGATTACTGTTAACCTTTATTTCAAAAGCCTGGTTGAGCCAAGCAATAGGTTTCAGGCTAGCTAAAAAACTTAACAAGCAAATGAAGCTTGGGATAAGCTCATTCCTTAGATCATAGTCAACATATGTATATAGAGAGAGAGAGCTAATACCCAGTCCATGATTGTATAGCCCATAAGAAGTCTATGAACAGTTGTGCAACTAGATGATGGACCTCAATATAGCCTTCTTTACTAATTCATTGAATCCAAATTACTTAATTGAATTAGATGATCTGGATTGCTGGCTCTCAATCAAATCATACATTCATACTAGAGATTCAATCAACAGAATTACCTATCAACAAGCTCCATTAAAAGTGTAAAACAACCTAATACTTGCGAATTGATAATTTGAATCTTTGACACATGAAAAGTTATTATGGTTTCGTGTTAGCCCAAATAAAGTTAATGTAAATTAATTGTTTTAAGATGATTTCCAAAACCACTAATTTGAGTAGAATTAGAAGTATTCTTATACCAGGCATTAAGGTAGCAAACCAGATTAAAATTTTGTAAAGCTTAAACTTCTTTTTAATAAGTCAAATTCTGTAAAGCATAATCAATGTACCACATCCTCCATATACATGGTTGGAATTTCACATACCAGTGTAACTATATAAATTAGATAATGAAATTCACTACTACAGAAAATTATTAATCAAAATAGAATCATTACTCAAAATGTATAACATGATACCATACTAATCTAATGTCATAAATACAAAAGCCCGTGTCCTAATATTAAACGAAAATAATCCTTGAACAAGAAAAAACCTCATATTACCCACCCACACAAGGAAAGGAGGAGAGAGCAAATATAGCCTCAAATGCAAGACTTTGTAATACCTCTATCCAACTTCGTTTGCTAATTCTTTTTCCCTTTGGTTTCCAACCACATTCAAAACCAAAACTTTTCTTGCTATCCCAAACTCCCTACTTACCGTTGTATTTTTTATTTTTTTAGATTAAGATTTCCCCCAAGCTTACACCAAAATGTAGGCTCCCATCCCCTTTAGTCTATCATCATCTAGACTAAAGGAACAAGAGCATAAACCTCAAAATAAAGAGCAAAAAAAAGATGTCTAGACAATCAGATCTATCAGATTTCAACTTTTCCTTATATATTATTTTTAATGTTTATGACTTTCAAATGGAGAGAAGACAACCAAATGGGGCAGAATTTCTAATATTAATCCATGTTTCTCAGACCATAAAAAAACTCAAACCAAAAACCCGATTATTAAGAATCAGCAGAAAATAAACCTGTTTTATTTTTTTTTTCAATTTTTCATTCCTCCGGCTTTTCAGCAACCAAAAAGGGTATTTAAGGACAATAATGCAACCCCAAAAAAGCAACACAATAATATACCAAAATCATAACTTAAAAGGGAAAAAAAAAAAAAAAAAACCCTAGTTTTCGAAGTTTTAGAGAGAGAGAATGAACTTACATCGTTCGGGACCGGGGCCGCCATCGGAGTCAAGCGAGTCGAAGCGACCAGCCATGCGGTTATTGCGCTCGGTGTCAGCCTCTTCTCTGAAGCCACGGCCTTTGGTTTTCTTTGGAGCTCCGGTGATGGCGGATTTGAGCTTTGGAAGAGCCGCTTTGGGCGACGCATCTACGTCGACGGCACCATCTTCGTCCATGAGATCGTCGTCTTCGGGCTCGAAGTCCACCGCTTCCACATCCGCGTTCGCCATCGCCTCCTCTCTCTCTACCGAGTCTCTCTCTCTCTCTCTCTCTATCGGGTATAGTTAATGGGGCTGTAGTGGGGTTTCCGTGCTCAAAGCGAGGGGTTATATATACATATATATATATGTAACATCCCGGGAGCCTTATATTGTCCGGACTAGTGGTTAATTTTGGGCGGGTTAAAATCTCGACATAGCGCAACCCGTGCGATGGGCAATTTTGTCATAATTTAAAATGTATTATATAAAATATGGTTAATTACCGTTACCTCCTTTGCAAATAGGGCAAATTATGCCCGCATCGCCTCTGATTTGGATAATTCCACTTTCCTCCCCAGCATCCGTGTCAAGTGACCTGAATAATGAAATTACTTTTCTATGTATCTTTAATATTTTTAATCATTTTTAATTCAGAAAATCTTCCTCATCCATGATTTCACTAGTGACTTTATACATACATATCATATATGGATACTAGTAAAACGCAAGTTGCACCCGAGTAAAATCTAATTTAAAATTAATATTTAATAAAGTAATTAAATAATTATTTTTTCAATGATAATTAAAATTAATTTCTTAAAATAATTACATTGATATATTAATTAAGATAAACAGATTACATTATTAAATAATGATAACAATTTACAAAATATTTATTATAATAAATTATATATTTTCACTAATTAAATTTATTTTTATTAAAAAATTTCATAATAAATATATAATTTGAGTTTTATAGAAACTCTTCTAAACACCTTATATTAATTATAAATAAATAAAACTCATAATAAATAGTTAATTTATGTTAGAGTTTTATAGAAACTCTTAATTATAGTATCTTAACTCTTTATTTATATTTTCTTATCTAATTAGATTTTATTTAATTAAAAACCTCATAATAAATAGATAATTTGAGTATTTTTTTTATAGAAACTCTTCTAAACACCTTATATTAATTGAAAAAATAAAAACCTATAAATATGTAATTTGTGTTAAAGTTTTATAGAAACTCTTCTAAACACTTTATATTAAGTGAAAAAATAAAAGCTCATACTAAATAGGTAATTTGTGTTAGAGTTTTATAGAAACTCTTTTAAAAATTCTTTTTATATTAATTAATAAATAATTTTTATATTTATAAATAATTACTAAAATACTAAAACTACTTACACTTTTTAATAATAAGTATGGATATAGATATAAATATGCATGTACTGGGAATTTTCAAATATCTTTTCTCCATCAATAGTTCTTTATCTTTCATACCAAAAAAGAAAAAAAAACAATCTCTACTTTGTAAGCCTGCAAGTAGGCTTCGCGTCAACCAAACCTCTATTTCCTATTGTGATGTTTCGCAATTTATCTCCTCGTTTTGCGTGCCGAACGCCTTGGAGTGTGGCGGGTGAGTTCCGAGAATTGTTTGGGACATTTTTTCGAGTTTATGATTCTTAGAAATACATACGTCATGAGCCTTATAAATAAACAACATACAAATATGTCTCTTGCAAAGTCCACTATTTTGGAGACCAACAATTATATACATATGCATACTTCACACACACATAACACGACGTACACTTGTCACCATGGTTTGAGACATTGATGACGTGGTCCAATAAAATTATGACACCTGTTAGAAAAAAAAAAATTTAAGTTGAGAATTGCCCACCTAGTCTCGAGTATAACCCTTTTTTTTTTTTCTCATCTCTTCTAATCTTCAGCAGCACCTCACCCACCATCATGACCGAAGCCATCACCGCATCTTCCTTTGCCTTACCCGCATCGAAACTCTCACCGGAGAGAAATTTCCCGATGAATGGTGGTCAAGGATGGTGTGGGATTCTGGTGATTATTGACTAATTTTTTGGTTATGGCATTAATTGATTCTCTGGTGTTGGGTTGTAGAGAGAAGATGGGGGTAGTTGTTTGGTAGGTTCAGAACCTCAAAAACAAAGACGAATTTGATGGGTCGTCTTCCCACAAAGAACACTCTTTTTACTTTTCTCAAATGCCCCAATTAGGCTTACAAGTTCTGAATTTATTAACTCAAATTCCCCACTCTAAGGAGGGAATCCTATCATACATAACTAAGTGATAACAAAATGATAAACCTGAACAACCAACTGTAGTTGTAGATAAAGATAGCAATTAGCAGAAAGATAAAGATGCCAAAATAGGAGAATGCAAGGATTGGGTTGTAGGAACCCTAACAGTCCTGCCCGCTTGAAAAATCAGTTTGCCCTCAAGCCGGAAATTCTGGAAACCGGGCACAAAAATCATAATAGTCCTCCCAAGTTGCATCTTCCACTGGGTGGCTGACCTACTGTACTAAGAGACGAGTAACAGCTTGATTGCGACGCTTAAATATGCCACAATCCAAAATTTTCAATGGAACCCAATTGGAGGAACTATGATCCGTTATAGGGGGAAGTGTAGGTGCGATTGAAGGGGTGGATCCTAACTTTTTCTTGAAAAGGGAATCAAGAAAAATAGGGTGCAATTTACATGCAGGTGGGAGGTCAAGCTTATACGCAACTGGTCCAATGCGCTGGAGGACTTGAAATGGGCCATAAAATCGAGGTGCGAGTTTATTGGAAGTTCGGTTTGCAAATGTATTTTGACGATAAAGCTGGAAGCGTAAGTAAATCCAATCTCCCACTTTAAAAGAACGTTCAGCCCGATGCCGATCAGCAATAACCTTCATTTGATGTTGAGCATATTTAATGTTCTCCTTCAAAAGATTCAAAACTTGATCACGATCACGAAGAGTGAGGTCCACAGCATGCACACTAGTAGAACATGGTTCATACGAGCGAATTGTGGGGGGAGAATGTCCATATAAAGCTTGAAATGGAGTCATCTTGATGGCAAATTAGAAGGTCGTATTATACCACCATTCAACCTAAGGCAACCATTTGGCCCATGCAGATGGTTTATCATTTGCAAAACAACGGAGGTAATTTTCCGGCATTCGATTTAACACCTCTGTTTGTCCGTCAGTCTAGGGGTGTTAAGCGGAGCTGCGACAAAGTTGACTTCCTTGAAGCTGGAAAAAGGCTTCCTAAAATTGACTTGTGAAAACTAGATCACGATCACTAATAATGCTTCGTGTCATTCCATGGAGCTTAGCAACTTCACGAACAAAAACTTCTGCCACGTTTGACGCAATGTATGGATGGGATAAGGCCATAAAATGTCCATATTTTGTTAAGCGATCCACAACCACCAATATCACCGTCTTACGAGACGATGGGGGTAATCTTTCATTAAAATCAAGAGAAATGTCTACCCAAGCTTCAGAAGGAACAGGTAATGGATGGAGGAGGCCGGGTGGAGACATAACTTCATATTTATGGTGTTGACAAGTATCACATTCAGCTACAAACTTCTTGATATCATTCCGTGTAATACCCCTAATTTTAAAAGGATAGTCCTGGTATTTAATTAATTGTTTAATTACATTTTTAATTGCTTTTTTAATTGTTTAATTGTGTATTTGCATGTTTATTTGAATTAATGGTGAATTATGTTATTTAAATGAATTGTTAAGTTAATATGTTAATTAAATGAGTTGTTTAATTTAATGGTTCATTTAAATGAATTGTTTAATTTAATTGTTGATTTGGATGAGTTGTTAATTGTTTAATTTAATTATTTAAGTATTGTTTTAATTATATAACTGCATTAATTTGATTACATTAGGGTTTGGTTTTTATTTATGAAGTCACGGGATTTAGTTTAGCCGACTTAGGATTATGGGGGAATTAGAATTAGGTTTCCATAAGACAAAACCTATATATATATATATATGAGTATGAGGTTGCCAAGGGTTTTAGAACCCTAAACACGTAACACTGGAGGGGACGAGATATAGAGAGTTTTGAGAGTGAAACTTGAGAGATAAACAGAGAGGTTCAAGGAGGACGGGACGGAGTGCTTCTGGGTTGAACCAAGAGCAACGGAGGTGTGGAACGGAAGTTTAGAAGGTGGTTGGAAAACTCAGAGACAGAGGTTTAAGGTTTTGAATGGAAACCTAAAGGCAAGTCTCTATTCTAACTCTTTCCCCCTAAACCTATGTTTTGTGCATGCCTAAGTAGACTCCAGGGGTTTAATTAATGTTAAAACAAGTCGTTTATGCATGTTTCAACTATATTTAATCTCGTTGAATTAAACTGGTTTGCAATTTCTTACAGTTCTGTTATCTGGTTCATGCTGTATTTGCGTTTAAGCTTAGTTTAATTAATATCGTTGATGCATGTCGATGCCTTATAAATGTTCTGGGACATTGATTAAACACTGGAACAAGTATTAAAGGAATTACAGAGGGCCTGGGTATCGCCAGAAGCGAGGAAGATGAAGCAGAAATTGCCGAACAGCTTCAGGGAGTGAGAGAGATGGCTCCTAAAAGGAGGGAGCCAGCTCCCTCATCAATGGAGCTGGCTCCAAGGGGTGTGGAGTGGTGGTTGTCACACCTCGACCCAAAGTTTATGCACTAAAAGATAGTGGTGTAGAGCTATGATAAATGTGGCCAAGTTTTACATTTAGAAATTGCCACTAATACCTTTCACTAAAAATATAGTTAGGGCAAGTAGGGATCGTCCCAAAGGATTGGTGGGTCATATTAGGTTATGGAATCAAGATTAGGGTTAGTAGGTCGAGTGATCAAAAGATTGGTTAGTGGTTGAATTACACTAAGATGCAATTTAAACTAAAGTAGGCAATTAAATGTAATGGAGAGAAAATAAGAGAGAGATCTTGGGGTTTAGAGATCACCACTAAGCATAGCTCTTCTACGCCCTTAATAAATGATTAATAAGGCGAAAAACATGTATTGCAACATAGTGTGTGTGTGTGGTTGTTTCAACAAACATGGATGACAAATTAAGCATATATTGTCTAAGCAATATGGTGGATAGCACAATATATCAAATTAAGCCATTAATCATTTCTTTAAACTCATAATCCAAACACATCACAAGGTTAGAGGTATATGTTACTTGCTTTCATAAGTATGGAACATTAAACAACAAGCATGAATTGTCCTGCCATTTAACACCTAAACTACAGCTACACTACAATTAGGCTAATGACATGAAATT